GAAATTCACCAGAGCTATAGTGAAACTGACAATGCCCACGTGCATGGCAGCTGGATGCTGGAATACATCGGGTAAAAGTGAAAAAAAGAGTTATTCCACCTTTCTGATTCCTGATCCTCCACGGACGGGATGGAATCATTTCAGATTTAAAGAACTTTCAGAAGTTTGGATTCTGAATATGAGTGAATTTTCCTTTAGGCTTTACTTCCATTAAATTATTAATGCATTTTGATTTCCTACTTGGAGGGAATTATAGAAATACGATAAGGAAATCAGATTTTTTGGTTTGTTTTTATTTTGAGGATTTGAAAAAAATTGGAATATGAATCATATGTCTCATGTAATTACAAACCTCCAAATAAAATGCAGTCCTCTTCAAACCACAGTAATACAATCCTTTTCTCCTCCTCATATCGGGGCAAAAGTGGGATAAAATGCATCCTGCAACAGCAGCCTTTTGATAAGGTAATTAGGCTATGAAAATGAAGATAAGCCAAATTTTATTACAACAGCCAGCTGCCTGGCGCAGTGCTGCGCTGAAATGTATGTTGAAGGCTATGACACTGTTAAAAATAGGCTCTGGCTCTGCACCCTGACGCGCCATCTCTCCGCTTCTTTTTCCTGAAAAGAGATCACTGGGGACAAACTCTTTAAATAACACTTCATAACTTGTATGTGTTAAATAACCAAGAGACATGACAATAGACAATAATTGACTGATATAAATTGAAATCTTACTCAGATCAGAGAAGTTGCTTAGAGTTACAGAAGGCAGCTGCTCACCTCTCAGGAAGCCACGATTAACATCTTATTTTACATCACACACGTTAGCAGATGATTAGACATCCATGGCTCCAGCCTGATCAAAATATCACACTTTGTTCTTAGCTGAAGGACGCCGCTTTCATTCCATTCCCAAATATTTACCACGTACAGAATGCACTGCAAAAAAATTGAAATCTAAGTAAGTTTATTTTTCTTTAAAAAAAGAGCATTTCTTTCTTGAATTAAGCAGTTAAGTGATACACTTTGCCAATGGAATAAGGCAATTTACATCTAAAATAAGAAAAAAACAATTGCATTGTCTCATTCCAAGTGGATATTATCTAATTATCTTATTTTAAGAGTAAAAATACTCATTCCATTGGCAAATCTTATTATTTACTTGCTTGAATTATGCTAAATACACTAATTTTAAGACATTTTTACTCGTTTCCAGATCGTTTTTGCAGTGTGGAGATTATAACTTTATATCCAGACAGAGGAACTGTCTTAATTATATAAACTATTGTGGAAAACATCAGTTCTGACGCTAACAGCCAGCTAATATAAAGGTGTTATGAACCCACAGATAATCAATGATAATTATCCTTAAAACGCAAATGATTTTTGATAGAAATATTTGAATTTATTGATTAAATGTATCTATTATACACATTCTTACAGCAATGGAAAATATAAAGAACATTTGTTTGTCCTCCCATACACTATATTAAAAGAAAGAAACAAAAATCCATCTTTTTTCCATTTTGTTTGCCCTGAATAAGCGCGATCTGGCAGGGGGCGCTGAAGAGCCGCGGGTTGCCGACCCCCGTTGTATCATATTGTATAACACAGTGTGTGTGGTATTAATATTTGATTTTACTACTCGATATAAACAGAGGCGTAGCCAGAAAAGTTTAATAAGGGTGGCCAGGCAATAACCAATGTACACTGAGGGGGGGCCAAAAGTAAAACATCCATATTTTCTAAATAAAGACAAACTATACTTTCCTAAAGCATTTGCTAACAAATAGACGCATTTATTTAAACTTCGGTGCTTTCAAGATAAAAGGTATAGCGGATAAAATTCTTTCAGGTTTAAATTTTGGGCGAAGATCTTTTCCATTGTCATTACTTACCTACTTTTATCAATAATCATCCTGCATAAAATTTATATTTACGAGTACTAATATCTACATAAATTGATTATTTAATACGTTTTTATTAAAATAGTTATTTATCTGATTTCATTAAAGACACATCATTTTCTCTTTACCCCATAAAACACAAAATCTAGTTCTGAAAAGAGCATGAATTCTGTACTTATCATCTTTAACATTGGTATATGGATGTGCATAATTAACCACAGTGTTTTTGTTATCAAGTAATTATGTATATATGAAAAAATAGTAATTAATATATGAAAAATTTTAATGTTTTGTATATTCCACTTGATTATTAGGGGGAAAAGATGATAGGGTGGCTAATGATTGGCTAAGGGTGGCCATGGCCACCCCTGGCTGCCCCCATCTAGCTCCACCCCTGGATATAAGTATTTTGCCTTATAAAATCTTTTTTTAATATGTATTGCTTCATATTGTATTACGGCGCTTTGTTAATCAGATTTGTAAAATGTTTGGCCTAATTGTTGCTGTCCATCTTTTGCATTAGCTGGTTACACAAGTTCATGAAGAAGAGGAAAAGCTCTCAAAAGCTGCGGAGGAAATGTGGCAACTGCTACAAGAAAGATGAATCTGAGCTCAAAGAGGGAGAAGAGCTTTGTGACAACTGCAAACTCAACGATTGGCAAAAAAACTATCAACTCACTGATGTGGACTCTTTCAGCCTGTTCAACGAGTTTTTGGAGATGGGTATGAATGTTCGCCTCTGGAGACGATCAAAGGCTGGATCTGTTGTGATTGCGCTGCAAAAACTATCTAATAATGAGTAAAAATGTCTTAAATTAAGTGTATTTACCTTTAATTTGAGCAGGTAAAGATGATCTGCTAATGGAAGGAACATTTTTATGCTTAAAATTAGATATTATGCACTTTAAATAAGAGACTGTAGGGATGCAGGATATTGGGATTTTGGCCGATATCCGATAT